TTGACACCCATAACCCTCTTGCTCCCCTCTAACCCTTAACCCTCTTGCTCCCCTCTAACCCTTAACCCCCTTGAACCCTTCTAACACTTTGACCCCCCCACCCCCAGGGACCCCGACGAAGAATGTCGCCTGCTGGAGGAGCGCATCAGGCGAGGCCAGCAGCGCCGCCGTCTGCGGTTCCTGAAGGCCCACGGGGAGCTGGGGCCCGTGGCCCACGGGGACCAGAGTCACGGGGACGACCTGCTGGGCCTCACTGCCAAGGCCAAGGAGAAGGCCATCATCAAGAGAAGGCCTAAGGTCCTCGCCAAAGATCTCAAGGATGAAGATAAGGACCAGAATTTAGAGGCCAAAAGTGGCCTTAATGGCCAGAAAGTGAAGGCCAAAAGTGGCCTTAAAGGCCAAAATTTAAACGCCAGAAGTGGCCTTAAAAGTCAGAAAGTGAAGGCCAAAATTGGTCTTAAAAGCCAGAAAATAAAATCCAATTTGAAAAGAAAAAGAACTGAAGTTTGAGTGGATAATTAAGTTAATTTTATTATAAGTAAAGTTAACAATAAAAACGGTGAAGTGTTATTGTAATGTTATACCTGCTTGTCTGCACGCACTGGGTTATTCTTACCCGAAGTAATCCTCTGTGTATACGAGTACAATTATTATCAGTAAATACCTACAATTATCAAGTCGGGTGTTTTTATTCATTATCCTCGGATGTTTTTGTTCATTCATTATTCATTACTTGCAATTCATGATTTTTTCGAGTGGTTGGGTTGCCAGCTAGTATTTTTACATCAAGACTTGGGTTGCCAGCTTGTATTTTTACGTCAAGACTTGGGTTGCCAGCTTGTATTTTACGTCAAGACTTGGGTTGCCAGCTAGTATTTGGTAAGTTAGGAGTAGGGTTGCCAACTAGTATTTAGCACAATAATATTGCAACGTTTCATCAACTGTAATTGTGAATTTGCCCAAGCAGCTAACGCGCTGTCCGTCGAATATCAATTGAAATTATTATTGAATTTATTTATTCCACAATTTCAGGGAACATGTAACGTAAAATGTAACAGCCGTACGATCACTCGTAAAAATGTATGGGTCACATCGTACAAATAGTGACACACTTTCTCACCCACAGCACGCGCAGAGAGCGTACGTAGCACTGATACGCCGGGCTAAACTGGGTCAAACTTTTGCTGGGCCAAACTAAGTCAAACTTTTGCGGGGTCAAACTTTTGCAGGGCCAAACTGGGTCAAACTTTTGCTGGGCCAAACTGGGTCAGGATGGCCCACATAAAGGGGCGAAGAGTACATCGTTCTCCAAATAAAGACCCACTTATTTCCCCGAGTGAAGAGTAAAAATATTTACCAGCGATGATTAAAACGACGAGAAACTTTATAAACTTATTTTTAAAAGGAATAATTACAAATTATAATAAATTCCAGTGACAAGTAATTCAATGAGATGGAAACTTGAGAATTGAAATTAAATGAAAAAAATCGTGAACTAATTTGCCGTATTGAATAAATACGGCAAATATTTCCCGTATTATTATAAATAAATAGAACACATTACCGACTAGGAAAACGAGATATACTAACGTATTTGTTTCAATGTCTTAACTAGTTAAACGTATCTTAACCACAATACTCTACAATTTCCTTTCAAATTCACCCAAAATAATAACACAATTTCTTCTTAAATTTCTATAAAATTAATAAAACTTCCAGACAAATTATGTAAGAAGAAAAATTCAATAGGAAAATATCCCGAGNCGGTCTTGTATCCGCATACGGTGCACACGAGCCACCCGACGCCCGTGTGTCGAGGTATGTGTGCCTGGAACAGCTGCTTATACACGGTCGTGTAGTCACAATACGGGCATTTGAACATGTCAGAGCCCGTGTGTTTGTTCTCATGCAGCTTCAAGTTGTTGCTGTTGTTCGTCTGCAAATAATGTAATATTATAATCATATAATATAATAGTCAAATATGAAAAAATAACAAATAATATTATACTAATAAATCATATAACACAATAGTCATATATAAAATAATAACACAATACCTAAATATAATGGAATATTTTAACAAGCAAATAGCGTCAATGGGTTTGATAGTGTCAATGATTTCAGATATCAAAGAATTTCAACAGCTAGCTGGGGCTCGAACCTGCAACTCGCTGCTTTAATTTCGGTTTCATTGTTAATAATTATTATGTTGATACGTTGATTTCAGGAGTAACTGTTGCATTTTACTGAACTAATAAACCTAATATACAATGATAACTTTACAACGTTATTTTTATCATCATCATTACATCATCTTAGGATTGTGACAAAAATGCGATCCCAGTTCGCAGGATCACTGTAGGATAAAATGGAGGCACGGATATCGGGGTTAAGTGGGTTCGATAGGATACCCTGCTTGTCCCCCTACTTCGTAGGAGCAGCGTAGGATGCCCTGCTTGTCCCCCTACCTCGTAGGGGCAGCGTAGGATGCCCTGATTGTCCCCCTACCTCGTAGGGGCAGTAGGAGCAGCGTAGGATGCCCTGCTTGTCCCCTACCTCGTAGGAGCAGCGTAGGATGCCCTGCTTGTCTCCCTACCTCGTAGGAGCAGCGTAGGATGCCCTGCTAGTCCCCCTACCTCGTAGGGGCAGTAGGAGCAGCGTAGGATGCCCTGCCTCGTGTGCAGGATGAGGTGCCGGGCGTAGGATCTCTGCCAGCGGCTCCTGAAGGAGCAGGTCCTACAGGAGTACTGACGACGCGCCGACCCCCCCGTGGGGGGGAGGGGGGCCCCACGGCGCCGCGGGGCGGGGGTGCGGGGTGGTACAGGGGTGCGGGGTGGTACAGAGGGTGGTGGTGGTGACGGAGATGGTGGTGGTGATGATGTAAAGGATGCCGATGAAGGAAGTGATGGTGATGGATAAGGTGATGGTGATGAAGGTGATGGTGATGAAGAGGGTGGTGATGAAGGTGATGGCAATGAAGGTGATGGTGGTGATGGCGCCTCCATCTGTAAGAAAAAAATCAAGTTAACACAATTCAGTTTTTATTGATAGTGACAGCGCCAGCCTGGGGGTGAGAAGTTCATAATATGTGCATCATATAACACTCAATTATATGGTCCCTTATATACCAGAGTGATATATATATAAAATATCACTCCATTATATAGTCACTCAATTATATACCTAGTCAATTAATATAGCCACTCTTTATACGCCAGAGTGATATATATAATCCCAGGTAGGGACTGGACATTCCCCAGGTAGGGACTGGACATTCCCCAGGTAGGGACTCGACATTCCCCAGGTAAGGACTGGACATGCCCCAGGTAGGGGACTGGACATTCCCCAGGTAGGGGACTGGACATTCCACAGGTAGGGACTGGAATTTCCCCAGGTAGGGACTGGAATTTCCCCAGGTAGGGAATGCATTCGGTTGGGACTCCCCACGGTGGGCCGCATCATGTCAAACCGACACTTGACTTGAACAAACTAACCCTAACAAAATTTAGACGCTGGCCCGACTCGGCATTTGGGGCCGCCTAAGACTCGGGGAGCGCATAAATCAGCCGCTAATGTCGGCTTCGGCCGGGCTTGAAGTGTAGCCTCTGGGCAGCTTGTCATACTTTCAGGACATACTTGTTCCGTAGTATGTCCCGTATTGTAGTTATAATGCTGTAGTTATACATATGATGATGTAGTTATGATGTATTAGTTGTTGACATTACGATGTAGTTAGACGACTTCCTCTGTACTATCATACCCGCATGTACTAACTTGTACTACCTATCTGCCACTGTACTACCAACATGTACTATTATGCCCCCATGTACTACTACCATGTACTATCATATATCCATGTACTATCATGTACCACCACTTCCCATGTATTACCATTACCCCCACGCCGCAGGTGTCGCTGGTAGTGAACCACCGCATGCCCAACTGCAGCAAAACGTACATCCACCGCGTGGGGCGGACGGCGCGGGCGGGGCGCGGGGGCACCGCCCTCACCATCCTCACCCCCGAGGACCAGCACCTACTACTAGCACTAGAGGCCCGCAACCCTTGTAAACTAGTCAACTATAAGGTAAACTAGAGGCCCGCAACCCTTGTAAACTAGTCAACTATAAGGTAAACTAGAGGCCCGCAACCCTTGTAAACTAGTCAACTACAAGGTAAACTAGTCAAATATTAAAAATATCAAGTGGGAACTAGTCAACTGTGAGGTAAACTAGTCAGCTATAAGGTAAACTAGTCAACTATTAAGTGGGAACTAGTGAATAGATCTCGACGACGTAGGCTTCTTAATTGTTTGTTGCGGATCGTTGTGGCCTCCGGAAGAGGCGGATTTTTGAGGCCTCCGGAAGAGGCGGGAGATGGGCGAAGGACCGGCGGCTAAAAGGGCCCCAGCCTCCACTGGTCTTCACAGTAAAGGGGACACGAAAGGTTGTGAAAAGAAGGGCAGGCGACGCTAGGTGTACGTCCTACCCTAAAGGATGTAGGACCGGACGTGTAGGATGCATGGAAACTGCAGTGGCCCAAGTAGGGCTGGGACAGGATTGAGGGGTATGGGCTGGGGAGACGGTCTTCTTCTGAGGCCATGGGGAAGGGAATTGGAAAGGGGGTGGGACGAAATGTACGCTTTGAGTCCTCGTAAGAGCCGGCGGATTGCACTCCTACAAGCCCCAGCGGGAGAGGCTGGCGGCGCTCGTGAGGTTCAGGAGCGCGCAGGACAAACTCATGATCGCCACGGACCTCGCCAGCCGGGGACTGGACATTCCCCAGGTAGGGACTGGACATTCCCCAGGTAGGGGACTGGACATTCCCCAGGTAGGGGACTGGACAAACTCATGATCGCTACAGACCTCGCCAGCCGGGGACTGGATATTCCCCAGGTAGGGGACTGGACAAACTCATGATCGCCACGGACCTCGCCAGCCGGGGACTGGACATTCCCCAGGTAGGGGACTGGACAAACTCATGATCGCCACGGACCTCGCCAGCCGGGGACTGGACATTCCCCAGGTAGGGGACTGGACAAACTCATGATCGCCACGGACCTCGCCAGCCGGGGACTGGACATTCCCCAGGTAGGGGACTGGACAAACTCATGATCGCCACGGACCTCGCCAGCCGGGGACTGGACATTCCCCAGGTAGGGGACTGGACATTCCCCAGGTAGGGGACTGGACATTCCCCAGGTAGGGGACTGGACAAACTCATGATCGCCACGGACCTCGCCAGCCGGGGACTGGACATTCCCCAGGTAGGGGACTGGACATTCCCCAGGTAGGGGACTGGACATTCCCCAGGTAGGGGACTGGACAAACTCATGATCGCCACGGACCTCGCCAGCCGGGGACTGGACATTCCCCAGGTAGGGGACTGGACANACTAGTCAACTATAAGGTAAACTAGAGGCCCGCAACCCTTGTAAACTAGTCAACTATAAGGTAAACTAGAGGCCCGCAACCCTTGTAAACTAGTCAACTATAAGGTAAACTAGAGGCCCGCAACCCTTGTAAACTAGTCAACTATAAGGTAAACTAGAGGCCCGCAACCCTTGTAAACTAGTCAACTATAAGGTAAACTAGAGGCCCGCAACCCTTGTAAACTAGTCAACTATAAGGTAAACTAGAGGCCCGCAACCCTTGTAAACTAGTCAACTATAAGGTAAACTAGAGGCCCGCAACCCTTGTAAACTAGTCAACTATAAGGTAAACTAGAGGCCCGCAACCCTTGTAAACTAGTCAACTATAAGGTAAACTAGAGGCCCGCAACCCTTGTAAACTAGTCAACTATAAGGTAAACTAGAGGCCCGCAACCCTTGTAAACTAGTCAACTATAAGGTAAACTAGAGGCCCGCAACCCTTGTAAACTAGTCAACTATAAGGTAAACTAGAGGCCCGCAACCCTTGTAAACTAGTCAACTATAAGGTAAACTAGAGGCCCGCAACCCTTGTAAACTAGTCAACTATAAGGTAAACTAGAGGCCCGCAACCCTTGTAAACTAGTCAACTATAAGGTAAACTAGAGGCCCGCAACCCTTGTAAACTAGTCAACTATAAGGTAAACTAGAGGCCCGCAACCCTTGTAAACTAGTCAACTATAAGGTAAACTAGAGGCCCGCAACCCTTGTAAACTAGTCAACTATAAGGTAAACTAGAGGCCCGCAACCCTTGTAAACTAGTCAACTATAAGGTAAACTAGTCAACTATTAAGTGGGAACTAGTGAATAGATCTCGAAGGCATAGGCTTCTTAATTATTTGTTGCGGACCGCTGAGGTCTTTAGAAGAGGCGGACGGTTGAGGCCTACGGAAGAGGCGGACGGTTGAGACCACCGAAAGAGTCGGACGGTTGAGGCCTTTGGAAGAGGCGGACGGTTGAGGCCTCCGGAAGAGGCGGACGGTTAAGGCCTACGGAAGAGGCGGACGGTTGAGACCACCGAAAGAGTCGGACGGCTAAGGCCTCCGGAAGAGGCGGGAGGTGGGCGAAGGATCGACAGCCAAAAGGGCCCCAGCCTCCCTTAGTCTCCTTCACAGTGAAGGGGACACTAAAGGTTGTGAATAGGAAGGCAGGCGACGCTAGGTGTACGTCCTGGCCTAAAGGATGGGTCGGACGGGTAGGATGCCTGGGAACTGCAGTGGCCCGAGTGGGGCTGGGTCAGGACTGAGGGGTAAAGGCTGGGGTGCCGGTCTTCTTCTGAGGCCATGGGAAATGGGGTGGGGCGAAAGGTAATTGAAAAGGGGGTGGCGAAAGGGAATTGAAAAGGGGGTGGTGCGAAAGGGAATTGGAAAGGAGGTGCGGCGAAGTCTATGCTTTGAGTCCTCGTAAGAGCCAGCGGACATGATCGATGCGCGATAGTCAGAGGCGGCGATCCATCGTGGCCTGGGACTGCTACCTCCGAAACAAATACTGCGGATACTAGGTCTGTGATTGCACCTCTCCTAAGGTTCTCCTGAGGGCAAGTCCTTTAGGAATAGGGCCCACAATGTGGCCTAATCTTAACCCGAATAGGAGCCTTCATGAGCCCATTTGCGGGAGAAGCGAAGACGCTGGAACAGGAAGTATGGCGGGGCCGGAGGAAAGGGACAGGAACTGCTCACACGTGAAGTTTTCTGGGGCAGACGAGGGAATAACTACTTCANCTGAAATAACCTAGTAAATAACTTAACCTAAAACAAATATAGATGTGTATAAGAGACAGGTCTGACGGTTAAGGCCTTCGGAAGAGGCGGGAGGTTGGCGAAGGACCGGCAGCCAAAAGGGCCCCAGCCTCCCTTAGTCTCCTTCACAGTGAAGGGGACACTAAAGGTTGTGAATAGGAAGGCAGGCGACGCTAGGTGTACGTCCTGCCCTAAAGGATAGGTCGGACGGGTAGGATGCCTGGGAACTGCAGTGGCCCGAGTGGGGCTGGGTCAGGACAGAGGGGTATGGGCGGGGGAGACGGTCTTCTTCTGAGGCCATGGGGAAGGGAATTGGAAAGGGGGTGGGGCAAAAGGGAATTGTTAATGGGGGTGAACGAAAGGGAATTGGAAAGGGGGTGGGGTGAAAGGGAATTGGAAAGGTGGTGCGAAGTGTATGCTGTGCGTCCTCGTAAGAGCTGGTGGACATGATCGATACGCCCCACTTCTCCAGAGCAAAGATACCACTCATTGCTATAGATTGGCACTGATTGTCAATGATTTGCTCGTGCCACGCCACTGATTGTCAGATATTGCCATAGATTGCCTGCCACTAATTGCTATAGATTGCCTGCCATTTATTGGCATAGATTGTCATTAATTGCCCGTGATTGTCATAACTGCCCGTGATTGTCACTAACTGCCCCTGATCGCCAGACGGACTCAGTGTTGGTGCGGCGGCTGCTGAAGCAGGTGAACGCGACGCGGCGGGGGGCGGAGCTGCGGCTGGAGGAGGGGGGTTCGCTGAGAAGATCATACACAGGAGGAAGCAGCTGCATTGCCCGGGGGCTGTGAGTGAACCCCTGAATCCTGGTGAACCCCTTATCGTCCGGGGGCTGTGAGTGAACCCCTGAATCCTGGTGAACCCCTTATTGTCCGGGGGCTGTGAGTGAACCCCTGAAGCCTGGTGAACCCTTTATTGTCCGGGGGCTGTGAGTGAACCCCTGAACCCCTTATTGCCCGGGGGATGTGAGTGAACCCCTGGTGAACCCCTAAGTGCCCGGGGGCTGTGAGTGAACCCCTGGTGAACCCCTTATTGTCCGGGGGCTGTGGGTGAACCCCTGAACCCTGGTGAACCCCTTATTGTCCGGGGGCTGTGAGTGAACCCCTGGTGAACCCCTTATTGCCCGGGGGCTGTGAGTGAACCCTTTGTGACCCCTGAACCCCTTGTGATCCCTGAACCCCTTGTAAACCCTGAACTCCTTGTGAACCCTGAACCCTTTGTGACACCCCTGAATCCCTTTTGAACCCCTGAACTCCTTGAGAACTCTTGAACCCCTTAGTGCCTGGGGGCTGTGAGTTGAACCCCTGAACCCCCTGTGACCTTACCTGCTTGTAAAACCCTTTAGCCCTTTTATGATTTCATCCGACCCGTTTTCGTAAACTTATCCCCTCTTGATCCCACTAGACCTCCCCGTTCCTCTTCTTTATTCCCTCCCACGTGTTCCTCTTCAACCCCTCTAACCCCCCTGACCCCCTCTAACCCCCATTGCTCCCTCTAATCCTTTTGACCCCTACCCCTTTGCCTCTGCAAACCCCTTGACACCCATAACCCTCTTGCTCCCCTCTAACCCCTTGCTCCCCTTTAACCCCTAACCCCTTGACCTCCCTAGAACCCTTCTAACCCCCTTGACCCCCCACTCCCCAGGGACCCCGACGAAGAATGTCGCCTGCTGGAGGAGCGCATCAGGCGAGGGCAGCAGCGCCGCCGTCTGCGGTTCCTGAAGGCCCACGGGGAGCTGGGGCCCGTGGCCCACGGGGACCAGAGTCACGGAGACGACCTGCTGGGCCTCACGGCCAAGGCCAAGGAAAAGGCCATCATCAAGAGAAGGCCTAAGGTCCTCGCCAAAGATCTCAAGGATGAAGATAAGAACCAGAAAGTGAAAGCCAGATGTGGCCTTAATGGCCAGAATTTACAGGCCAGAAGTGGCTTTAATGGCCAGAATTTTGAGGCCAGTAGTGGCCTTAAAGGCCAAAATTTACAGGCCAAAAGTGGCCTTGATGGCCAAAATTTAAAAGCCAGAAGTAGCCTTAAAGGTCAGAAAGTGAAGGCCAAAATTGACCTTAAAAAAAAGAACGTAAAATCTAATTTGAAAAGAAAAAGAACTGAAGTTTGAGTGGATAATTAAATTAATTTTATTATGAGTAAAGTTAACAATAGAAACGGTGAAGAGTTATTGTAATGTTATACCTGCTTGTCTGCGCGTAATGCCTTATTCATACCTGAATTAATCCTCTGTGTATATGAGTACAATTATTGTCAGCAAATACCTACAATTATCAAGTCGGGTGTTTTTATTCATTATCCTTAACAATTCATGGTTTGGGTTGCCAGCTAGTAATTTGTACGATAATATTGTAGCGTTTTTTCATCGTTGGTAGCGTTTTTTCATCGACTGTAATTATGAAATAGCCCAAGCATCTAACGCGCTGTCCGTCGAATATCAATTGAAAATATCATAGAATTTCTTTATTCCACAATTTCAGGAAACATGTAACGTAAAATAATGTATGGGTCACATCGTGCAAATAGTGACACACTTTCTCACCCACAGCACGCGCAGAGAGAGGACGTAGCACTGATACGCCGAGCTAAACTGGTTCAAATTTTTGCCGGGCCAAACTGGGTCAGGATGACCCACACAAAGGGGCGAAGAGTGCATCTTTTTCCAAATATAGTCCCACTTATTTCCCCGAGTGAAGAGTAAAAATATTTACTAGCGATGATTAAAACGTCGAGAAACTTTATAAACTTATTTTTAAAAAGGAATAATTACAAATTACAATAAATTCCAGTGACAAGCAATTCTATGAGACGGAAACTTGAGAATTGAAATTAAATTTGCCGTATTTATGTAAATAAATATTTATGTAAATATTTGCCGTATTTATGTAAATAAATTTAACAAATTACCGACTAGGGAAACGAGATTAACTCACGTATTTGTTTCACTGTCAAACTAGTTAAACGCATCTTAGCTTTAAAGATACTCCGCTGTATTTGGATTGAATGTAAAGAGGGTGGAAATCAAAAGTCGAACGCAAATGCGAGATTGCATAATATATTCATCAAAAGACAATAACGAGTTTTATTTACACGTAGAACATCACGGAACAACAACGCATTAAATTTCTCTGTGACGGGATACGTGTACAAATCCTGCAAGAAGAAACGGAATATAAATTATATAAAAACATAACAAGAGGCGACTGCACAATTAATTACTTTCACGTTCGTACTGAAGTGTCAGATAAATCTTTCACGAAAGGAGAACAAAAAAATCTCGGCATTGAAAAAGTCTCGCGACTGTTGGAAGAAGCGCGAAGAAGCCCCAAATGGCTGCACTATATTCGAGCGGTGCGTATTACATAAATGATGATGCAAGTGATGATGCCTAGCAAATTACGGACCAGGCAATAAGTCCAGCAGCTATCTCAATCAATCGTCAGTTATGGAAAGATCGGGTTCCAAAGGCAGGATCCCTTGTGAATCAAGTCACGAAAAGTTCAAGAATCGGCAACAGGCCATGGGCCTATGTCTTCAACGCCGACACTTCTATTCTATTCTATTCTATTCTAAGTCTGAAGAACACATTAAAGACAGGCTGCGCCTACGTTAGTTGCGTAGGCTTTACTGTGTGCTATTGCCACGGCAGTCCGGGCTCATCTTTAACTTTGCAATTAATGCCTCGAAAATTCATATAAACTATGTAAAATACGGCATAAATAACAAATTAGATCTATTTATATTAAAATAATAAATAATAAGCTGTTTCACGACTTAAACATTTTAACCGCAAATACCTTATTGTAACAATAAATAACATATTATAACAATGGATACAATATTGTAAAAGCGTAAGTATCACAGTTTAACAGTTAACATCACAGTCTAACGGTGGGTCCAGAGCTGTTATCAGTTCAAACAATGGCGGGCGTTCGTCTCTGTTTCCAGCCTGGCTCCAAGCGAATGTGATTCGTTACAGTCGAAAGAAGTAACGAATTAAAACCAAAACTATTTACAAAAACAAACGGTACCACAAATACACATGTTCTAAATCGTGAGGGGTGTCTGCAATATTCGTGCTTTGATAGCTACATTACATCCTGACAAATCTAGTGGTTTACAAATTGATAGCTGGAGACTCATACATGATGAATAATTGTACATGTACTTCCAAATTTCAAACTTCATTTCCAAATTTCAACCTTCAAGTGTTGTTAAACTCTTAACATACTTCAGAATGAATATTGAATATTCGTAACCTCGTATTCCAGTAAAATGTCATTTTGGTAACCTTGATCTCCCAACACCAGCAAATTTTGTTCGGCCTATTAAAAAAAAACAATAAACATTTCAGCACATAGCAACCCTAGCAATCACTTCACTCCGGCCTCAATGTTCCGATAGCTTCTAATGTAGAGGCCAATAAATCATAGCCGCTCATCTAATAGATAAAGAATCGTGTTACTAAAACGCACTGTTGAAATACAAAATGTTTCTCAGCAGAGATTCGAATCTTAAGGAGGTTTGTCGATAATTTTCATAAATAACACAATTTCAAATTAAATATTTGAATTCACACCACGTCGGATGTCACGAACTGAGATTAATCTTGTTCAAGAAGCCACTTTTATAGAATATCTAATACACATTATGCGACAACAAGCTGATAACAGCACATAAAAAGGATCTTGTAACGATTACTTGGCACAGTAAACTAAGCTGCCGCTTAAACGAGGTAACGAACATTAAATGATTTATTTCACTAAACTCACATACTAGAAAATATTTCACTACGGATCAGGATTCTAAAAATATCAGTACAATCATTGCGTTGCCACGCAACGCTTTCAAACGCACGAGAAGCGTACAGTAATATAGTAGATAAGTCCACAAAAAATAGTAGATAAGTCCACAAAAAATAGTAGATAAGTCCACAAAGATAAGTCTACAAAAAATCTTTATAGAAAACGTTTCGGAGACCAGCTCCATCGTCAGTTCGTAGAATCTAGAATCACAAATCAGAAGTCACAAATTAATACATTGAAAGCAATGTATTAATTCATTCTGCTCTAATTTGCGATTTAAGCAAACAAGTGATATAAATTCAATATAGATGTAAAATTATGTGTCTGCTATTGCAGTTCAAAAAACAATTGCGACACAGTTTGTTCAGGAAGCTCTAAAATTTATTTATATTTCCTAAAAACGATCTAAGATGAATATCACGGAGCAATTAAGGTGATTTAAAACCACAATTTCTGGAAATCAGAAGCACGCACGGCCAATGATGGTCTGCCTTCCCTGTCTCCTCAGAGAACAAAAAATTAGGTTGACTTGCATTGCACAAGAAACGTTATTAAATCTTAGGTCATACGGCCAATATGGAGCGATTATGACCCGTCACTCGTACTCAACACTTATTGAACCGTTGCTTTTGAACTAAGAAAATTGCATTAAAAAAACTAATGACGAAGCATTCGCTTTGAGAGAATAGATCGATGGAGACGTAGATTTATTGAAATCTATCACAAGAAAATATTCACTATAGACTGGACAAAAATGATTAACACTTTATCAAAATGGAAGAGAGGCAGATCAGAGCATCAGGCGAGCCACATGTTAGTTGTTGCTCCACAGTTAGTTGTGTTGTTGCTCACCATCAGACATTAGCATGTCTCTGATCTTCTTGTAAATAGAACCTATAGGAATGATATTATTTCATAAATAATAAAAAAATGAAATAAAATAAAAGGCAGATATTTAAGTATTGATGGACAAATGTTATACTCATGTATATTCACTCCAATTCAAAAGTAGGCATATTCATCTGAAATAAACGTAAGAAAATAAATTCAGTCGTACCAACAGTCTTTTTTTGATGCATTTTAATATTGTCCGGCCACCAACTCCTCTTGCCGCACGGACACACGTACACGACTTTACGCGTGTGCCTGGCATTTTCGTGGCGCGCTAAATGCGTTTTGTTAGTGGAGTAATAACCGCAGTAGGCACAGACATGTTGGCGCGGGGGTCGAAGGGAAGAGGGCAGGCTGCAAAAAAAAAAATAAAAAGAAAATAAGGCGTTAAACGGCATAGTACATGACCAAATCAATCAACTCTCGACCGTACAACTTTAAATGTTAGATTAAATTCACAAGAGGACACTGAAATAACCTAGTAAATAACTTAACCTAAAACAAATATACAGAAGACGCAGCATGCAAGTAAGACATATAAATATACATTAGTGTTGTTACATTTACATAATATACATTTGACCCCACGTATCTATTTCCAAACTACCTAATTTGATGAAAATTTTCAGATAGATGACAGGATTTTTTTGTCGAAATATCATCTTGTATCCTACTTACTACGTGTATACTACTTAATCAATTAATTAATTTTAATTACAATAACTTACTTATAACTGCGACATAGAACTGCCGTTACTCCTACCACCAGAGACAATCTGACAACCATAGCAGGTCTCGGTCTCAAAGCATTATCAACAAGCAAGTTCATATCAAAATCGTCGATGAATTCAACAGGCTTCGTGATACCCTTGACAATGTCAAATTCCAAACTAAACAGTTATCCGAGAGACCGGTGTAGTCTATAAATTTTGCTTCAAAGAAGGTTGTAGACTTCTTCATGTTTTAGACAACATCGGACAAATTGGACTAACAATCAAGATACCAAGCCGCTGTCTCGTTAGCTACCTTCAAACTGGAGGGCAGGTGAACCACGCGAGACAAGCTCACAACCAGACCGTCACTCGCATAGTGCTGTAGGTACTCACCAGCATCGTGATCATGCAGTGGCCCGACAACCACCGACCGGCGATACCTGAACCCCTCATCTCTACAGATAGAACTCCAGCTATCTATTTTCTGACTACCGGATTTGTCTGAACTATGAATGAAATTTCATAGTAATTTGTGATCCAAAATTTTACTGTTGCATCCTATTTACATATATTATGTACTTATTTCCACCAAAATTTCAATATTTAATGCTTCTTCTAACTTGAAAATGAATGTTTGCTGCATTCGAAACGTCGTTAATTAACAAAAAGTACTTCCTAAAACTTGCCTTTTAATCTAGCGT